TCCTTTTTTTTTTTTGTTCTTTTTGTTTTTTGTTCTTTTTTGTTCTTTTTTTTGTGCGTGAGAGAGAGGTGGAGTGGGAGGGGGAAGGGGGGAGGGTTAGGAGGAAGGGGCGGGGAAAGGCTAAGGCTCGAGATTGCGCAACGTGGCTGCGCCACGTGGCACAATTTTAATCGTTCCTTTCCGTTTCTTGGTCTGTTGTGTGTGTGTGTGTGTGTTTGTGTGTGTGTAGAATTAAAAATCCGGGAAAAAAAAATGTTCTGTAGAATTGCAATTTGGACAACTTTTCGCTGAGGGTCACATCCGAATTCATCACGGGACAGAAGATAAAAAGGAAATTAACCGAATCACACTAAAGCACGCCCCTTTAAATCCCTTTCGCCCGTTTAAAACCAATTTATACCCCCGTTGTCCCCCTTGACAGCCAGCACTCGAACAAAGAAAAGAGTGCGGATTTCTCTTTGAGAGCGTGCATGCTTCAGAGGTATGGTTAATGCTAGCCGCCCTGGCTCCTGCTGTGACGAAGTTGTTTACCTGAATGGCTTTCGTCCTGTAGATCATCGGGAGGGCTGCTACCATCGCCCGCATCCTTATGACAGTTGTCCTATGTGTCGTGAGGGTCTTACTTAGACGTACCTTGCACCCTGACAAAAATGTGCAGGTGCGCTGAAAAGAGTGTACAAGAATGTGCAAAGGTGGGAAACCCTTCACTAAAACTGCAAAACAGTGAAGAATGCAGTAAAAGAAGAACATAAGTTTGTGTCATGTGACTTTGTTTGTACCTTGCACCCTAACACCCTCAAAGGAAAAGTCCGAAGGGTGAAAATGAGAATGAAAAATGAAGAAGTGCAGGTGCGCTGAAAACCAAACGTGGTAGACTCTTCACCATAATTTGTGTCAATTTTATTTTATTTTTCCTCCCTCTGCCTATCAGTTTTCCTTTTCTGCTCCTCTCTTCCTTGTGTTTAACACCTCTTCCTTCACTCTGCCTCTTTCCCATAGCGTGCAAGTGGGCTGTTATGGCATACGGGGATGGGGGCAGCTCGCTCTCAACTTCACCAACGTGGCGAGCCTTGTACGTTAGAGGCACGGTGGAGGCGGCGTTGAGAAGACTGAGAAACTGAATGATTTCAATGTGTATTTGTTTTTGATTTTTATCCCTTGTTCAGTGTATTCTTTTTTGTAAAACACTGAAAGAAATAAGAATACAGTGAAACAAAGACCAAGAGGACACTGTTTTGTGTCATTCTGGTTTGTCTGTCTCTTTGCCTGTCTGTCCTTTCGATTTTTCTTTTCTTCGCTCATCTTATTTCTTCTACTTCACGTGCTTACGCTCTTAGTCAATAGTTCTGTGACAATATATATATTTTTCCCCATGCCTGGGTATTCCGGACGTCAGACCCCCCCTCGGCGTCATGCCTGGGTGACCGGCTGGACCAGACCCCCCCCGGTTTTTCGTTTTTTTAAAATAAAATTTTGATATATACTCTTCGTTTTTTTTTTAACTCACATTTGGCTAAGAATTTGGAGATGACTCCAAGGCAAAAGTTGTTTGTATTATTATTTTAATTAATTTACACAACATATTATAATTTATATATTTTCAGATTTCTGAGAATTGTTTTTTCTTTTTTTTTTAATGTTTGCGTTGGGAGGGTTTTGGCGCCCGTTTGTGTACTTTCATGAACGTTCAAGCTCCTTCACCGAACGCGAACACGATGCTACACAGGAAATACGTGATTAGGAACTGGACTGATGCTCCCCAGAGTGGACATGGAGCGGGGCCCAGAGGGAGCTGCTTTTTATTGAAAAGAAAGAAGTGCAAGGAATATGAGTGAGAACGATATACAGAAAGCCAAGTTGCGAAATCACACAGATGTCCAAGTAGTCACGTACAAGCAGAGAACACAAATGCACCGAGATTCCATCCAAATAAGAGCAATACAATGAACTCTTGAGCCAATATTCAAGCCCTCAGGCCACACCAACACAGTATCCAATGTCGCTCCTCTCTGTCGGGCGCCCCGCACCCAGCCTACACTACTTGCCTATCCTACTACAGCCGCATTCACGCAACAGGCTCACTTCGACTTTGAAGACCAATGTACATGACGTCAACACCATAGCCGACCTCCCTCGTGCACCAGGTATGTATCACGTCTCCCCTCATCAGACCCTGACCACCCACACTCGCGTCCTTCCTGAAGATCACTGGTTGCCTTACTCCCTAGCACCCTGCTGCCCAGCTATGGCTGCTTGCGCTTCACTGCCCAGCAGCGCCCCTCTCACCTCGCACTCACCCGCACGAGCCCTGGCCACTAACGCAGCACACAGCAGCCTATGTTTGGCTGCGTGTGGCCTGGCTGGGAAGGTTCCAGTAGCTTCTGGTCGCCCCCCAGTGTCTGCGCCCAGGCCCAGCTCTTCAGTTGAGCGCCTGTGCCCTTTTTGGTTGGGCACGCCCAGGATTTCCAGACTTGGGCAGTTTGCCGTATTTGCACAGGGCCCGGGGTATGTATGTCGACAATGCTGCTTTTTCGGAGGCCCGTAGGCCACTTTGTGATGTATCTGCCCTGCATTGTGCGTGTGTGCCCAGGCGCAACAACCAAGGCCTGGGCCCAACTGTATGGCGCAGCACAGGGAGGCTCATGCTTTCTCTCAACCAACTGGCGTGCTGCTACTGCCTGAGTACCCACATATGGAAAATGTCAAATTTTGGCCTCTGGTGAATATTCAGGCCCGGCTTCACTTAGGGCGGGCACGAGGCTTGCTGAGGGCCTCTGCCCAGAACATGTGCATGTCTGATAAGGGCCCTGCGAGGGCTCATTCCTCGCATTCCATCCCCCTAAGCTTCGAATGTCCGCTGAGATGCTTCATGCTGGTGCCTTCCCCTTCAGTCTTCGCTCAAACTCGGCCACGAGGAGCTGTCTTGACAAGTTCCTCTCTTGTGAACCATCGATCTTTCTTAGGATCCGCATGATGCCTGAACCGTACCCGATACTCTCTCATATGTGTAGGCAGTCTTCCACAGCCAGCCGACTTGGGAACAGGCATGTCTCCGTGTTCCAGGATATCGTCGACGTCCACGTGATCATCCATGGTTGGACGCAGCATAGACCTCCTTGATGGGAATTGCTGTGTCTCAGCGAAAGGTGCAAGCTTTGAGGCGTGAACCACAGGGTAAGTGCATAGGTGACCAGGGATACGGATCACGTACGCGGGACCATCCTCTTCACTACCCACAATATCCAAGACTTCCCAGGGACCGAAGTACTGAGGCGTTAGTGTTCTAGAGATGTCGAACTCCTGTCCCAACTCACTAGCCTTGACCCAGACACGTTCCCCTACCTGAACGGTGGACTGTCAGCGATGCTTGTTCTCAGAAGCAATCATTGCTTCCTTAGATTTCCTTATGTGTTTGACAGTCTGCTGCAACAGCTTCTCATACTGGATACCAAACTCTATGGATCCAGGGGTTGCAGCAGGTCGGTTTTCAGGCAGGAGGAAGTGTAGAGCAGATCTAGTCTTCCACCCCAAATGCAGCTGATTAGGACTGACGCTGGTGGAACTATGTACAGCATTATTGTACAGACTGGTGATGAATGCTGGTTAGGGCTTCAGAATGCAGGCTGCTGGGATATGATGAATATGGACCACAACTTTCCAGTTTTCAACACCTTCAGGACAATTGCTAGGAAGAAAATTAGTGTCACAGGGCACATGATGAGATGCCTGACTGCGCGTGACCCCTGAGCAGGTTCTGGGCAGTTCTAGCACTAAAAAAAAAAAAAAAAAAAGATCAAAAGAGTATGGAGGATACGTATGTTGTGTCGCATGCAATGTAAACAACTTTGGCTGAGGGTCACTTCAGAATTCCTTACTGAATCAAATGTAGGAAAGAAAAGAAAATAACAAAATTAGACTAAGGCAGCCCCGCCTGAAAACGGTTTGAGCGCTTTTAGAACCTATTTATACCTGCTTCCCCCCCTTAACAGTGGAAACTGAAAAGAAAAAGAAACCGGATTTGGACTCTCCTCTCAGCGAGCACAGAAGATCCCCACTGCCTGAAAAATAAGAAAAGAAACGATGTACCCAGGTACGCAGGGCGGCAGACAACCCCCACGGTGATGCCTGGCTGCCTGGGCAAACTGGAAGAATGTTCTAGGGCAACTGTGAGACCAATTTTGATGCTTGTTGCATGAATGGCCAGTTTTGTGCTACACTGTCACGACCCGCGCGCCTTTAGGAAACTGTGGTCAGTGCCCCATTCCCTGCCATGTAAGGTACTGTGTCAGGTGCTGAAACCAAGAGCAAGGGGCTCTGAGCGTGCGTACTTAACCAATGTGGTTCTCATGATGGGTGTCTTCGGCATGCCACGGGTCACGGCAACACGTTTGTGCATACTGTTCACTAGTACAAATTATGGAAACAGAATAGCATTTCTTTTGTGTTAGGGGAAAGTGAAAAGCAGATGAGTGCTAAGCACACTGTCTTCCTGGTGCCCTAGAGGTATCATTTTGAAACTGACCAGCGCCTAATAAATTCAGAGGATGAAAGTCCGCTGATACGTGTGAGATTGATCTAGTTTTTCCCACTTTGTAAAACCTCACTTAATTGGGAATGTGTGCTGGCTGTCGTTTGATGTGTGGTTCGTTTTCAGACAACCAAGATGGTCCCCAGGATATCTGGAAGAGCTTTGGTGAGTGCATCTAACTTGCAAGTGCTGGCTAGACTCTGGCCGCTTAACCCCAACCACTGGTCCTGGTAATACAATTGTATGTGCCCACTGCAGGGTCGTCTGGTGTGTCAAAGCTTGTCACAGCCGTGTTACTGTCGTCACGCACGGGCATGGTGGTAGTCTTGCTAGCCCAAACTGTCAGGGGACTCCTTGGGAGGCCAGGTCATGTGCTTAGCTTAGTGCTGCAAAGGGGCGGATGATGTGACCTTCAAGATAGTCAAAGAAGTACACACCAAAACCAGGTAAGATTCATTCGACACAACGGAACTTGAAAGGTAATTGCTTGGTGGCGATGACCACCCTCACAATCATCAAGCCACTCTCTCTCTCTCTCTCTCTCTCTCTCTCTCTCTCTCTCTCTCTCTCTCTCTCTCTCTCTCTCTCTCTCTCTCCGCCTGCAAGTGAGATGAGCACACTCAAATCATGACTGTTCTCTTTCCATTTTCTTTCTTTCGTTCAGTTTTTTTTCTTTCTGTTGTCCCCNTCTCTCTCTCTCTCTCTCTCTCTCTCTCTCTCTCTCTCTCTCTCCCTCTCTCTCTCTCTCTCTCACATGCCTTGTCCCCCTCTGAATGTCTGCTCGACCCTATCAACTATGGCGCCAGTTGGTTGACTAACTACCACTCAGCTCGCTACCCTCTCCCTCTTGTGGCCAGTTGCTCAATAATGCAGTAGCGCTTCCGTGACCTCACGGAGGTCAAATAATGTCAGCCCTTGCTTCAATGTGACTTTTGAAGGGGCTGCTGTCCCATGTTAGACTTGTGATGTCAGCCCCTTCAGCCTAGGCTGCAGCCAGCAATGATTTGGACGGTCATAGGGCTGAGCTGCGACTGACCCCAAGCGGAAAAGGAGCAACAACTGACTGGATGACCCTACTGACTTCTGTAAATTTCTGCAGTTCCTGCCAGTTTCTACACAGCCTAGAAAAGGTACCTACTGCAAGTTTCTTCTTCAGACTACACACATATCTAATTACAGGGGAGCTGGGGACTTGGTGCCCGGAGCGGCGCTGAGGCGCGTGAATCCTTTCGGCATGTTCCACTGTAAACGGAGTTGAAAGGCTAGCATTGCCACTTAGTATAAGGATTTGGATGCAGCTATTTTCAAATTATGCTTACAATAGGACCCCTTTCTGTTTTGGAGTTCCAGAGCTGCCACTAGTCCTGAGCTGAGCTGATTGGTTGTGCCACTAGTCCTGAGCTGAGCTGATTGGTTGTGCGACTAGTCCTGAGCTGAGCTGATTCGAGCTGCCACTTGTCAGCTGAGCTGATTGGTTGTTACACTAGTCCTGAGCTGAGCTGATTGGAGCTGCCACTAGCCCTGAGCTGAGCTGATCCGAGCTGCCACTAGTCCTGAGCTGAGCTGATCGGAGCTGCCACTAGTCCTGAGCTGAGCGGATTGGTTGTGTCACCAGTCCTGAGCTGAGCTGATTGGTTGTGCCACTGGTCCTGAGCTGAGCTGATTGGAGCTGCCAGTAGTCCTGAGCTGAGCTGATCGGAGGTGCTACTTGTCCTGAGCTGAGCTGATCGGAGCTTCCACTAGTCCTGAGCTGAGCTGATCGGAGCTGCCACTAGTCCTGAGCTGAGCTGATCGGAGCTGCCACTAGTCCTGAGCTGAGCTGATTGGAGCTGCCTCTAGTCCTGAGCTCAGCTGAGCTGGTTGGAGCTGCCACTAGTCCTCATCTGAGCTATCGGAGCTGCCACTTGTCCTCATCTTAGCTGATCGGAGCTGCCACTAGTCCTCATCTGAGCTGATCGGAGCTGCCACTAGTCCTCAGCTGTCAGTAGTCCTCAGCTGAGCTGATTGGTTGTGAAATAGGCCAGTTCTGCGCACATGTTCTGTCATAGTGTGGTCTAGTGCCTGGTCTGCATTTTCAGTCTCGAGTAGGGCACAAGTAGCATTGAAATGTTGAGATCTGGTCTGTTTGGCAGGGGTCTTTTTTCACTCTTCATTCTGCCTTAACGCTCTTGTGAATTTGAAATGACAGCCAAAAGGAGTCTGTGTTGAACATGGACAGCAACTGGGTCCGTCTGGAGCTGGACACCTGGGTTGTCTCGCCTGATCTCTGTCCATATCTTGGCCAGGCATCATGGAAGAATCTAATCTCTCTCCCTCTCTCTCTGTGCTGGAACGTGAACTTGCAAGCGCGTTGAAGCCAACCACAGCTCTCTCTCTCTCTCTCTCTCTCTCTCTCTCTCTCTCTCTCTCTCTCTCTCTCTCTCTCTCTCTCTCTCTCTCTCTCTCTCTCTCT